TGGACAGAAACCAGCAGGAGCTCAGATTTGCACCTACTTTCCAATCCAATTATCTATCCGAGAAAGCCAGCCTTCCCCAACGCAACTGCGAGATGGGCCAAAAATGAGAACTGCAAATCCGAGCTCTCAGATCTAAAAATCTCCCTACGGTGTTTTGTCTCTGGATCCAAAGAAAACAGGGTTTCGAGGGTTCAGGGTAATCCGGAGGGTGGTTCATGAAACTGGTCGATACTGAGAATTTTCTACTAAATAGAGGGTGATTCCTGGTGGGAAGCGCTGGCCAGATTTCAGAGCTTTCTGACCTGAATGAAAACCGTCACCCCAAACGGCAGTCCAAATCTAAAAAGCCCTTCAAAGACCTCAAACTGGTGGGATTTTATGAAAGATGAAATACGGGCCACATAGTGAAAGAATTGGTTTTTAAGCCAAATTTCTTTCTCTGCAAGGAATTTAGCATAGAAAAGGCTTTGAGTGAAATATTTTGATGGAATTAAAAAAAAAAAATATTTCTTAAGGGGAAGTTTCAAATAAATGTAAATTACTACTACTCCATTTTCAACTAAACATTTCAAAATGGACAGAGAGCTTTGTTTTGTTCCAAGTGCAATTCCTGGGGCTGTTCCCGGGTTGACATTTGTAAACTTAAATTGCCCTTTACACCTGCATCTACACACAGAATAATTGCAGGTAAGTTGCATCTCTTTGACTGGAAACTATCTGCACAAAAGCAATGACCCATAAATTAAATGCCTAGGGAAGGAATTCAAGGAATACCGAATACTGCTACGCTCCCTTAGCGATGACAGGTATTAGTGGCATGTAATTTGGCCAGACACACCGCAAAAAAAAATAAAAAAAATCCAAAAACAAGCATACACAACCGTGCAAAGCATCTCCATGGGTACATCTCTAGCTTTCTCCTGCTGCCGGAGCGACGAGTTAAGCGTGTAATGAGAGAGTGTGTGCAAAGGAGAAGAAAACCAGGGGATTTCGGCACCTGGCTGTTTTACAGCAGAGCGGTTTGTAGGAAGCACATACCCAGGAATAACTCCCCGTTCCCGATGGTTGGCTGCTCGCGGAGAGACAAAACAGCCCTTCGTTAAACCCAAGTGAAGCTTTCGGATCTCCCGGTGAAAAAATAAAAAAAATGACTAGAAATTCACAGAGGCGCAGACTGACTTTAAGCCACGGGTTTTGTTCAAAGCACTTCCCATTCTGTGTAGGAACTCACTCTGCCAACGAAGCCCACCGGGCACCCTGGAGTACACTAAAACCGCGGCAACGCTTACCGGTGCGGTACGGAAGCACAGGGAACACCAGGGGCCAGCCAGGACAGGAGGTAATTACAGATACAGGGAGCTGACCAAAGCACCAAAGCAAGGCGAAATATTTCTCATTAAAGAGTTCCACAGGATCTTTAATGCCCACAAGTGGTCAGGAGCTGGTTTTCCATCCCATCCGATTTGTCTATAGTTCGATACCATCACACACCTCACAACCTTTAGCTCGTTAATTTTCTTCAGCTCTTCTTTGAGCAAGCAAAGTATTCCCTACCCTTTGCAGGAGAGAAGATGAAAGACGGAGGCACACCACAAGTTTCTGGTAGAGCAAAGAACTGAACCTAGCTGTCTCCTAGCCCACTCATCCCCAGGCCACCCTCTTCCATCCCCAAGATGCCACCAGCACCCATCAGGCCTTTAATCCAAGGGCACCAAGAACTGAACCCAGCTGTCTCCTAGCCCACTCATCCCCAGGCCACCCTCTTCCATCCCCAAGATGCCACCAGCACCCATCAGACCTTTAATCCAAGGGCACCAGTTTCTACACATGAGATACGGACAGGGGAATTTTTCTTTTCCATAGCTCTGCATTTTTATCCTATTTATATCTTCGTTCTGCAGGGCTAGGCTGTGCTGTGGACAAGCCAGCAGAATTGGAGGGGATATTTCTACAGCACATTATTCAGTTGCCTTCCACATAGCTACATGTGCAGACCAACTGAACGAGCGAGGGTTGCACAATGGATTTTGCCTGAGGCAGTGAAATAGCTGGGGCCAACCCTGTCTCTCTGTTTCACTCACTTTTTTTCTACCCTATCTCTATCTTGGTTTTTTCCTTTCCTTTCTCTTTGTTGTCTTGGTTACATGGACAGATTCCTGATATGCTGCTAGTTTTCATTTTAATGATATGTTCCTGTAAAGCACAATATTTTACTTCAGTTTTGTGTGCCACTGGATAAATTCCTTTGACATATGTGACATTTGTATATCAACTAACAGATATTGCTTTATGACTGTGGGTATTTTGCAGAGTATTCACGGATTACATACATCAAAACCTCATATACAGTCTGCATCTTTCATAGAAAAATACACACACAGAGAAAAAGAGACTGAAACTGCAGGAAAAATACGCAAAGTTTCTCCAAAACCATCTTGTCATTACTTGCAGTGAGTCTTCCAACAGCTGAGTAGATCCTGCAGTCTTGAATTTAGTAACTCCCCTCGTCACGCCAGCCCAAATACTTCACTGTAGCTTGACCGAGTAACTGCACTGCACCAGTAGAAAGAGCAGTACGTATCATGCATGGCAGGACTCAGTAAGCAGGAAAAAGGCAGCTCCTGGGCTTTGTCCACTAGTATATATAGTTTCATCTAATTCTACAAAGCTTATTCCAATTTACCCATAGGGTTTTGTGGGGTTTTTTTCAAACATAAATCAAATTTTATGCTAACGTAATGGATTATGCTGGAGTCGCAATACCAATGCAGTATTTCCTGGGCTTCCTATTCCAAAGCACCTGATTGATGAGCCAAGATGGAAAACAAAGCTTCAAAAGGTCCACCAAGGCTTGGCAGGGACCAAGGAGCATCGAGTGAAAATCCTGAGTGCCAAACTGGCCTCATGTGGCACCCAGGGGAGAAAACTGGCTGGTGCCCTGAACTCAGATACCTTCAGGAGCCCTGGAGGAGGGCAGTGTGTAGGGGAGAGGCAGTGACTGTAGAAGGCACAGCAAGGATGGGGCTGAACCTGCAGGAACTGAAGGTTTCAACTGCTCCAAAACCACCACATGTGTTCAGGGGAACCCTCTTTTTCTTTGCATTCTGCCTCTCTGGTGGAGACTCATTCAGCCGAGGAAGGTCTCAGCCCAAGGCTCCAGCTCTGCTCGGGGGGACCAAAAGCAGTAACTACTGCAGAATATTCAGCACATTAGGAAAAAGTGAATATAATGAAGCTTTCTCAAATTACATCAGCCCGTTCAGTTCCTCTCCTCTCATTCTTTACCCTATAAGGCTGTCCCCGCTCTCCACCGCACTCTGTAAAGCGCTAAAAGCTTTCTCTCCTATTTTCCCCTATTAAAAGGAATCAGATCTTGGATTCTGCAATGCGACCTGCAAAGCCTGAGTTTGCTTCTCCTGAAGCCAAAAGAAAAACCAAAAAGCTTGCGAGTGCAGGGAAGCAGCAGTCATTCTTAACTGTTTAGGTCTGTTGGATATTTACCATTCAGATCTCAGCTACCCCATTTCCCCCACCCCAAGAGACTGACTGGAGAACTAAACAGTTTATTATGATATCACAGATGACAGAGAAGCAAAACCTAATTAGTCAGGGGAGGAGATTATTTTTATTACAACTGTTTAAAAAACAATTTGGCTCCTTTTCCATATGCCTGAATAGACCGTTTATAAAAAAAATAAATAAAATTCTCTTTTCAAAAGCATTAGCAACCTTTCCTCTGTCAAACAAAGCCAGAGATATTTGCCAGCGGGCAGGTTCCCGTTCCCCTCGCAGACCTGCCTCAGCATGGGAGCAATGTCGTCTGAATTTACAACCCTGATTTTCTTTTTAAGTGAAGAAACATGTAGAGGAACAAAACCAGAGATTTCAGACCTTCCTTAAGCTTCCCTGAACAAATGAACCTCTCCCTTCCCCTGGTCTGCTCTGTCCATCCTATACATAAGCCATAGCGGGTCACCTTTTCATAGCACCTTCCCCTCCCCAACTTGGAAGTTATTCTTTGCAGAAGGAATTCAAAGAGGAATCAACACCCAACCCAGCCCCCAAGGCTCTGCCCAACCTCCATTCCCAGCTTCTCATCCATCGCTGTTATTATGACAAAGCCACAATCTCCTCTCACATATAATATTTCGCAACACCCCTGGGCTGAGGGTTCAGCCAAACATTGCCAGATTGGCACAGAGCAGTTGAAATGGATGAGGTGCCCATCGTTAGCGTGAGAAGGTCCCTTCTAATACCTCTTCTCGCCTTGAGAAAACCACAGGTAGGCAATTCCCAGCTTCCACCTCTCAAGCCTCTCTACTATTGCCTTACATGGCAAGCTGCAGAGCTACAGCCGTGCAACAGGCATATTTTTAGTGAGAATGCACAGTGAGGAACATAAATACACTCTTTCTTGTATTTGGGTTTACGTGGCGGCAACCATAAACATAATGCTCATTATCGTTCAAGACACAGCTTTCTTTTGATGAAAAAAGCTCTTCCTTCAGTACCAGCACCCAGCCTGACCTACACAGGGCAACCGCTAATCCCATGCTGGGCTCGTGGTGAAATCACAGCCCAGTCACATTGCTCTGAAGAAAGATCTCCAGAGCATGAATCCTCTTTCTTAACACTTCAGCTGCAGCCAGTTTTTTCTCCAGCATGCACAGATACCCTGTGATCAACTACTTAATTAGAGATGGTCTGAACACAAAAATATTCTGTTGGATGTAAACTGCATCAAGTCTGTCTGTGGCTGGGTCTGTGGTTTGACTTCAGAAACATTCATTTGCTGATGAATGACAATTTGGAAGAAGGATTTTATCCTCTCTCACATCAGCTCTATTGCTCAAGGGTGAAATGCAGCTTTTTTGCCAACCGAAACATTTTCTGTCCTCAAGATAGGTCATGCACCTTAGGATAAGGACTGAGCTCACACTCAACTACAAATCTCCGTAAGAACATGAAAATTGGAATTAGAGAACCACATTAGGTCTTACCTTTTTGAGCTTCCCACTCTTGGTGCCCACAAAAGCCAGGGAGTGGTTCTTGTAGACGTAGGCAATCACAGATGTCATTCTGTCTCCATCCTCAGTGAAAATGGGGAGCCCTCGCACCATGGATGATACTCCCAAGGGGGCATTCATATCCAGGCCACAGAAATTGTCATCAATTGTTAACAGCTATAAACAAAAAGAGAGAGAGTGCAAAAAAAATGAATCCTTTAGCCATTTGGCAAGTCCCCCTCAAGCAGAGACACCATTGCATAACATGTGTATAATTTATGCAGGCAGATAAATCAATGACAAAGGCAGAGCTGGAGAAATACAGAGGTGGAAAAAAAAATTGTCCAAAGTTGCATGATGAGTTACAGACAGAAGGAAAACTGGGAACTTGCTTCTCTTGAATGACAGCCCAGCAGGATACATTACGTTAAGCCTTTTTCCTACTGCTTTACCAGTCAGTTTTACCAGTCAAGACCCAGCAATCAAAGACAAAGTCTGCTGAAAATGTCTTAAACATACCTAGTTCTGTCAAAAAAAAAAGTATGCACATCATTCCCATGGGATCCAAGAATAAGAACCACTGAGATAAACCTGCACTGGCAAATAAAATAGACCCTGGCCTGCCCTCTGGCCCCGATGAGTAAGGCTCACATCTGTGAGACCTCCCACCTCCAAATTTTGTAGCATCACTCACACTACATCTTGGAAATTATACTCCCCCAAGGCACGTTGAAGAACTGTCTGGGAGAGAACTGGTCAGCCCAGGTCAAATCTGCAGTAGGGACCACAATAAGGATTAAACCCTGTAGATGGTGCCTGCACATACTCCCCATTCCTGGGGTCAGTTTAATCACATAGTCACAGAATCATCTAGGCTGGAAGAGACCCTCGGGATCATCAAGTCCAACCATCTACCCTACTCTAAAGTTCTCCCCTACACCATATCCCCCAACACCACATCTAAGTCCTGGGTCCTTCTCTTACATTGTTTAGCCTGGGCAGTTCATCCTTCTGGCTTTCCATTTCTTCCCCATAAATTGAGATTTATCTTCATTTATCCATTTTTTCCAGGGTACTGTAACTCACTGGAGTTCTTTGGAGAGGAGAGGAAGGTTTCATAGCTATTACAGGAGCTTTCCAGCATTTGTTGGAGATACCCATGAACTCCTAACAACCAGAGAGAAGGTCCTGTTCATTATTGCTGCTGCCTAAGCTCTAACATCTATTGCGTTTGAACTCAACAGGCTTGTCATCACACAGATGCTTCACTGAGATCTTTGTGTACAGATGCACATTATCTCTGAGGGTGTTTCTTTGGACCTCAGACAGTTACAGAAGTGCAGCAGCAGAACAGTGCGGACAACTCTTCCACCCTAAGGCACCATCTGGACAGTAGGTGAGGCTAATACAGGTTACCAAAATGAAGATCACCACAGAATAAGTCAACCAAAGATGAAGCTCCAAATACCACAGTACACAACTGCCAAAGCAGTTAAGACTTTATTTAAACTTCACTGTGACCACTCACAGATGGAAATTAAACATCCACTTAAGATGTTTAGCTGCACTAACGTCTAGAAAGGCAATAATTAATTGTACAGGAAGGTTGCCTAGTTTTCATATATCAGTAATAAAGGACCATGACTATTTTCTTTGTCTGAGCTCACACCTTCCTGGAAGCATGGATAGAACATGTGCTGCTCCTTACTTGAGTTCACGAGCAGTAAAAGCCTGATAGTTGACTCATTTTATCCTCACCCAGCAATTACAAGGAGTAATTACAGATGAATTTACTGAATGGAAGAATAATGTGTCTTAAATGTATTTATAAACACAGAAAACCTATGAGGAATTCAAACAGCCATTAGCAAGGAGCAGCTAGCCTGAGCTCTGGCCTACAAGAGTCATTAGTGTTTGTGGACTGCCCTTTCAGAGCTAAAATACCAGCTCAAACAGCAATTATAGATCAGATCAAGAGCCTCCACGAGCAGCAGACAGGATGTTGCTGGTCTACAACACCAGCACAAAGCGTAGGATAAATCTGCATCCCCGATCCAAAGGGCGAAATTCATCCAAGGCCTGGTACCACCATACTGGTGGCCACACTTCAGAGGGGCAGGACAACACCACCGACAACATACCTTGCAAAAACTGAGTGTTTCTGTGGCTAATGAGAACACCAACAGATTCGTTACTTGGGTCAGGATGGAAAAGCTGCAGCTTAATTACTCGGGAAGCACAAACGTGTGTGAAGCAGTGACACTACCCAGATCCTTCTGCGAGACATGAGACGCTGACTGTCAGAGATGAGCAATATGTTGGTCTGATGCAGCGTGACAAGCCTTCTGTTCGCCAATTCAGTACCCAACACGTCACCTGGTGTAGGATCCATCTCACCTTGCTTTAGTCACATGAAACCTTAGTAAATAGCCTACAGTGGTCATACAAACTACCTCCACAATCAACAGAGGAAAGGACACGTCAGAGACCAAGCCATCCAACCAAACCAAACCACTTCATCACCTTCCTCACCAGAGTTAATGGTATGAAGCTGCGGCAGGGGAGATCTTTAGTCACGTGAAACCTTAGTTAGTAGCCTACAGTGGTCATACAAACTACCTCCACAATCAACAGAGGAAAGGACACATGTCAGAGACCAAGCCATCCAACCAAACCAAACCACTTCATCACCTTCCTCACCAGAGTTAATGGTATGAAGCTGCGGCAGGGGAGATTTAGATTAGATATTAGAAAGAACTACTTTACCGAGAGAGTGGTCAGGCACTGGAACAGCCTGCCCAGGGAGGTGGTGGAGTCACCATCCCTGGAGGTATTTAAGAAACGTATAGACATGGCTCTTCAGGGCATGCTCTAGTGCCCAAGGTTATTGGTTTATGGTGAGGTGTTGAGTGTGGGGTTTAGTTGGTGGGTGCGGTGTTTTTGGTGGGTGTTTGGTGTGGTGTGTTTTGTTTTTTTTTTGTTTTGTTTTTTTTTTTGTGGTTGGACTCGATAATCTCAGAGGTCCCTTCCAACCACTAAGATTCTGTGATTCTGAAAGAGGCAGCTGATTGCAAAAGGACTCCAGATGATTCACTCGGTCTAAGCATCTAACATAAAGATACATCATGCTTTGAACAGGAGGCTGGACTACACGACCTCTTGAGGTCCTTCCAACCCAAACCATCCTATGGATGTAGGATCTAAGAAGAATCCAGGTCTGGAAGTCAGGCCTAGTTTCACCGGAAACTTTTAAGCTCTCAAATTTACATGATCTGTGTTTCAAGGCAATAATAAAACCGTGTGTGTGTCTCACTCAAACTGATGGCCTGACAAGCTGAGAGGAGAATCACAGAATCATCTAGGTTGGAAGGGACCTTAAAGATCATCTAGTCCAACCATCAACCTAACTCTGACAAAAAAAGAAATAAGAAATAAAAAAAAAAAAATCACTGAACCATATTCTTGAGGACCATGTCAGCCTGTCTTTTGAACACCTCCAGGGATGGTGCCTCAACCACTTCCCTGGGCAGCCTATTCCAATGCTGGATAACCCTTTCTGTGAAGGAATGTTTCCTAATGTCCAATCTAAACCTCCCCTGGCACAACTTGAGGCCATTACCCCTTATCCTATCTCCTGTGACTTGGGAGAAGAGACCAACCCCCGCTTCTCTACACCCCCCCTTCAGGTAGTTATAGAGCGCAAAATGTCTCCCCTCAGCCTCCTCTTCTCCAGACTGAATAACCCCAGCTCCCTCAGCCTCTCCTCATAAGACTTGTGCTCCAGACCCCTCACCAGCTCCGTTGCCCTTCTCTGGACCTGCTCCAGCACCTCAATGTCTTTTTTGTGGTGAGGGGCCCAAAACTGGACACAGTACTCGAGGTGTACTGACTGAAAGCAAGTTCAGACTGAAAGCAAGAAATTCCCAAACCTTCTACAAATAGCATAAAAAAAGGGCAAGAGAAGAAAGCCCTGCTTTGCCATGGTTTTAGAGAAAAATAGGAAAAGGGAACCAGCTCTTTTCACTACCCAGAAGATAAAAAAACTTAAGAAGGCCAGAAGACTTCTTACCAGTGGATGAAACTCCATGTCAAACCACAGGAAATTGCACCAACAAGCAGTGAGATGCCAGCAATCAAGCAGAGCTGGCACAGTCTCCTCTGATGCCTCCTCCTTGGTGTAGCACAGCCTTCCACACAATCCCCTCCCTGCAGCACAGCCAAAACCAACTACTCCCACTGAAGAACTTGGAGACCAGAAAAGACCCATCATGCAATCAACTGGGCTGGCTTCCTGCATGACCCAGGACCTGGAATAGCAGACAGGAGCAGCCTCTTGCTGTTTTACAGGGAGATATAAGCTACTTTTATTTGCTCCCCAGGCAGATCTGAGTCTGTGGTTGTAAGGATACAGCACTGAGCCCTCCATAACCCACTCTATCAACAGCCAGGATGTGTCAGCCAGAGTATATGATTGCTGTAGATGTATATCACAGCTCACATAACCCCAGTAAGCCCTCATCGACTTGCAAAACCCTAAGAGGATATAGACCCAGAGATCCCAGCATCAAACACAATAACCTGTGGCTGATCTGCAGCACATCTCCCACCTGTGGGGCTTAATTAATCCAACTGCCACGGGGTTAGCTCCTCCTCCATCAGGCTGGGCCCAGCTCCAGCTGAACTCAGACCTGCCCTTAACGGGGCTGATTCCACAGTTTTTCTCCCATGTGGACACAAAGCTAACTTTAAACTCATGTATTTCATTTTATTTCCCTGAGATGATTTACAGGAGGACACATCCTCATAAGAAAGATGGGGACAGACTTTTTAGCAGGGCCTGTTGTGATAGGACAAGGGGTAATGGTTTTAAACTAAAAGAGGGAAGATTTAGACTAGATATAGGGAAGAAAATTTTTATGCTGAAAGCATAGTGAAACACTGGCATAAATTGCCCAGAGAAACGGTAGATGCCCCATCCCTGAAAACGTTCAGGGTCAGGTTGGATGGGGCTCTGAGCAACCTCATCTAGTTGAAGATGTCCCTGCTGGAGACTAGGTGGCCTTTAAAGGTCTCTTCCAACTCAAACTATTCTATGATTCTATGATGCAAGCACACAGTTCAGATGAGATCTAGGACCACCACAGCACATTCCAGCCTCTGACACATGCAAACTGGTG